CATTATTAAACAAGTGTCAAATAAAAAAATTCAGATCTCTTTCCGTCAATTACTAAAAATAGTGAAACCCGAGATTCGGCAGGATATTATAAACTCGATAGCAAATCCAGATATTTCTCGGAGAAATCGTACACTATCTGAGGCTAAAAGAAAAAAAAACAATTTTTAACGATACCGCATCTGAGTCCTCGTCTGAATCTGGGTCCGGCTCTGAATCCTTTTATGATAATGAAGATTTTACTATAGATATGGTAAAAGTGAAGAAGCACAATTAATCTTGATCATAGATATGAAATCGTCTTGCTTGCTCATAAGGAACGCCTCTTTTTCTATAATTGACTACAACGTAATTTTGCACAGGAGAAGTATGATTATCAGATGAATGACGTAGACATTCTCCAGCAATTGTATAAGCGTGGGCCATATTCTTAGCCTCATGTGCTACTGCACCGTAAACTGCTCCTAATTTACGTAAATATTTAGGAATTAAATCATAATCTTTTAAGAATCTATTGAACCATTTAACTCCTGGCTTGCCTGGATCACCCATTCGTCCAGATGATATAGCATGCTGAATCCAAGTGAGTAGTTCTTTGGCTCGTTCTTGATTCTTTTCCATAGATCTAAATTTTCTAGGTATATCTGGCTGGCCTCGGTTCTTTGCATAACCCGTTACTCCAGCATCTGTAATGCGTAAAGATGTAAGTTCAGCCGGGCGAATACAAAGCATCACCATAACATCTGCGAGAGCTTGTAAGTCAGGTAAAGTAGATACATCATAACCATCCAATCTTTCTCTAACCGATTCTAATGTAAATTCATCTGGATAATTAATAGGATTAGCTTCGGCTTTTTTCTGATTGTCTCTCTGGATTTTATTAGCTTCTTCTGTAAAATCTGGAAATTTCGTGGCCTCGACTATTGTGGGTAAAGCACCAAGGTTTCTTAATTCTCTTCTGAGTCGAGAAAGACGTGATGAACCAGCGTTAGCATTTTTTGCTGATAGAGCTAAGGCATAAGCTTCAGCTCTTATATCCCAAATACTAAGTTTATTCTGTAAAAGCCGATGCGCCATCTCTCCAATTGTTTCTCGTGTGGCCCGATTGGAAATAACAATGTTTACTGTGGAACAGGGCACTTTGTGCGTAGTTTTGCTTTTTGGTTGAAAATTTTTCTGAATAGAGAATAAGTTATCCACCTGACCCTCACTAAACCCATATCTATTTTGCAAAATTCGTTTTGCTTTCTCTCTGATAATCTCTTCTTCCGAATTTTTTGGAGGCTTGGTTACAACTATTCTACAACTACCTTCAACCAAATTTATAGTTTTATTTTTCCCGCTTCTCTGATTAGGTATTAATATACTTACCTGATCACTGCTAAATTTAAAACCATCTCGAAGGCGTCGTCGACCTTGATTCCGCTTTTTATCATCGGTAAGGTTTTCAAGAAATTCTGAGATATATTTACTGAGATCGGACACACTCATCTTGGGGCTGAGATTGTATTTTTCAACGATTTTAGTTACGATAGCTGACATGATCTAATAGTAGGTCGAATAGGTTATGAGTAATTCTTTAGGTTATATACACTATAAAAATATTTTTCTAAAT